CAGACAACCTGCACATTCAGGTAACAGTTTAGCAACGTTCTGTCTGCCTTACTACTGCAAAACCCAATGGACCTTTCGACTGAGCCAAAAATTAAGGCTTCCTTCACATCCCGCCTTCCAAAACAAACAAAGACATCCGAAATGATCCAAGTCGCTCAAGCAGTAATAATTATTCGTTCATAAGATAATTTTCTGAATGAATTGATGTAACTCGATGTCGCGCTGCTATCAGATTCAAGCAGATGGCTCGAGCTTAACAATTTTTCGAAAATTTAGTTTCACTTACCTCTAATTTCAAGTCCTTCTTGTGCAGCCAACGAAACGTCATCTGAGTTAGCAATCTGTGCAGCCATCTGATCATTCAGTTCACCAGCTCGACTTGCCGCTTCTAACGCTTGTGGAGTATTCAGCTGCAATCACAGGTACAAAAGAAGTCAGAATTTTTCAGCGGAGCAAAGGCTGGGATAAATAATGGGGCAGCCAAAAGTCAAAGCCTCCTCAGTAATCACTTTCTATAAGAGACGGAGGCATTCGGTTGTAACCTGAATGATAGCAAGTGCCAAAAGCAACCGCCTGCTGATAAGGCACACAATGGATCCTTTATCGAGGGTTGCTTAGAAGCAAACTATCAGCGAATTGGGTCCCTTGTGGGATAAAATTATCATCGAAACAAAGAAGGACTGGCTGTCCCATTAGCAAACTGTTGAATGCTTAACCTTGAGGAACCATGTGTTGAACAAAGAGGGAACCATTTGAGTACAAAATCCTAATTAATAAACTTGATTTGGTGGCAGTAGTCAGCACATTTCTAACATATCCAAGCTGGGAACCACATACCCGCCATGTTAAATCGTACGAGAAGTGAGGGCTTGCGATGTGTTTCGAGCGGAGGCCTTTAAAGAAAAGCATGTTCTAACAAGGCTGTCAGTGGCTCTAAGCAACATGTAAAAGGCTACGAAATGCAAGCGCACAAACCTGGGGTCCCTTTGGTCCAGATGAAGTAGGCTTCTTTTTCTTCTTTTTGTAATGTGACTTATCATCGGATTTAGACCCCTTGTCCTTGCTACTGCTGTGCACTTTCTGCAAATCGCGTCGACCCGGAATAGAACTATCAGCGAGAACCAGCGACATCGAATCGGAGGAACTTGTTGTTGCTTGATCGATTGCAAGCTGACCCGTCCCGGAGGTGCCCGCGCTGGCCGTACTACAAAAGAAAAGACATCAGAAATGTGGACCGCTGCAAATGATCATTCTCCAAGGCGGAGAAGGGGGGAAAGGTCGCAGATACTCTAAAACTGCAAATATTCACGGATGAGAGATACATAAGGCTTCAAACTGCAATATATTTTAACCGTTTTATATAAATTATCATATGGTTAGAGCATTTTTATCTCTTTACATGTGCCTTTATCGAAGCCCATTCGCATAAAACTCAGCAGCCATAAGCTAGGCATATTTTTTATTCTCTGTTTTTGTCGATTTTTATGTGATTCTATGATTAGCCAACTCTACTTTAACGAAGCCATGTGTTAGGTGGTGAATTTACATCTTTTTTTTTTTGGCACGATAAGACCACTAAGTGGGCCAATAACTGACACTATCAATATACTCGCCCCTATCCCAATCCCTGTCCTGCAGTTTACAACAGGAAGTTGCAATTAACAGTGTTTTCCAAAATCAAACTAACGGTTTCCGATCAACAGGCGCAATGTTTGCTGGTAAGGGAGCAAATGTGGCAGGTTCCACCGAGCAGTTCTTCGTGGCCGTTCCAATGTTTATTCTGGATATCAGCGATTGCGTCGGTGCAAGCATCACAGGCGGTGGAGGAGGTATCGAAGACACCTGAAAAACGACTTCCATGCAATTTTGCTAAGAGAAAGTTTTTCAATAAAAGTCAAACGAATGATGGCCGCTCGCCACGCTACTCACAGAAACAGTCATATGTCAACCGCAGCGGGAATAGCACTAATTTTTATGCGTTTTTTAAGGCTTTTTCTACTGCTTTTCTGGCACTTAAAAAATTTTCGCTGAAATTCCGAATAAACAAATTTGTGGTCCCACACTGGCAGAAACAAACTTATTACGGTACGGTATTTTTAAAAGTGCTAAACTGACGATAATCGAAAACAAATAAGCAGTAATGTCAAATGAACGCTGAGAAAGCCACCAGTGACAAGGATCTATCTGAAGGCGCCCTATGTTTAACTACATATATGTGATAAGCTCAAAGCCGAAAACAAAAAATAAGACAACAAAAATATATTAAAAAAAATTGACAGCAAATTTGCGGGAAAATATGACTCCGTCAATGGCGAAATCAGTTCTCTTCCAAAATCAAAAATGATCCGAGCCGAGCAAGAGCTCTGTGCAATTGCTGAATCATGCCCACATGCGTTTCCAAGAAACCTACCGCTGTTGGTGGGACGGGAATCGAGCTTGCCGGTAATGGCACGGATGAGATGACTTGTGGTGGTGGAATAACAACTTGGACCGGCGGAGTTTGCTTCGCATATCCACCAAAACCTCGGCGGCCGCCAGATGCTACAGGTGATCCTGGAGGTAACGGTGGTGTTCCAGCTGGTGTTGGCGGCGTGGGAATCTGCAAAACACAACTAATTTTAAAGATATTCCGATTTCAGAAAGGCAAAAAATTGTTTTTTAGAGCTTTTGACCTATTCTTTTTGTTTTATTCACAAAAACGAACATATTTTGTGTGCAAAGCTATTTTGAACTGGGAATGCCTGCCCACTCTGGCCCCACCAAGCTCAGCCGGACTTAATGTGACATAGTTTTCACGATCCGTCTGTAACTCGCAAGATTTGTACTTTGCAGCACCTCCATACCGCCCAGCAAGCTGCCATTCCCACACCAAAACCGGATGCTCGGAATTTTGGTGGAGAGAAAAGTACATGTGCGTGATAATTTCGTATTTTCACCACTTCCCCGCGCAGTTATGAATCTTCTAACAAAAAAATCAAATTACACTGAATTTACTGCACATATCCACCGATACTAGGGGCGAGGAAAGGGGCGGGAGGGAGGGAGAG